ACCTGTGAAATACTGGGTGCAGTTTCATGTGGTTGGGTAACCGGAGCCTGAAAGCCACTGGGTTGACCTGTTGAATGACCTCAAAGGGACCCAACCTCCTGGGTCTTAATTTCTTACAACCTCCTTTGAACGGCAACCCTTGGGTTGACAGCCACACCCTATCTCCCACCCTTATGGTTTCACCTTCCCTTCGGTTCTTGTCTGCCTGCCTCTTGTATTCTTCCTTCGCCCTTTCTAAGTTGAGTTGGAGCTGACGATGGATTGCTTCCATTTCTTCCACAAAATGCTCGGCTGCCGGGACGCTCCATCTCTCCCCTCTCCCCTGGGAAAGCCCTGGGATGACACCCATAATTAGCCAAGAAGGGGCTCATCCCTGTGGACACATTCTCGGCATTGTTGTAGGCAAATTCCGCCAGCGCCAACTTTTCTACCCAGTCATTCTCTCTGTCATTGACATAACACCTCAGGTATTGCTGGAGGACACCGTTTGCTCTTTCCGCCTGCCCGTTGGTTTCAGGGTGCCGGGCAGTCGAAGAATTGACCTCCACCTGCAGTAAGCTCATGAGCTTCCTCCAGAACCTGGAAGTAAATTGTTTTCCTCGGTCTGAGACCACCCTCAATGGCACCCCGTGCAACCTAAAAATGTTTTCTACAAATAACTTCGCTGTCTCTTCCGCCGTGACTGCATGCGAGCAAGCTACAAAGTGGCACATCTTTGTTAGTAGGTCTACCACCACCATGATGGCTGTTTTCCCTTTGGACTTCGGCAGATCAGTCATAAAATCTATCGACACTGCCTCCCAAGGTCGTTCTGGGGTTGGTAAGGGTTCTAATAGCCCCGCCGGCGCCCGCCTTTCCCCTTTGGCTCGCTGGCATTGCTCGCACCCTCTTACATACTCACGTACATCTTCCCTCACCTTAGGCCACCAAAATTCCCTGGTGACCAACCACATGGTTTTGTGTTGTCCAAAATGCCCCGCCGTAGGGCTGTCGTGCAACTGCTTGAGTACCCTCCCCTTAACTCTCCTTCAGGGATATACAGTGCCCCTTTGTAATACAAAGCTCCATTTCTTTCCTCAAAACCCCTGGTTCCTCTCCATCACCCCTAAGACCTCTGAGCTTATTCTGGGCGTATTCATCATTCTCTGTTTCCTCTACCAGTTCTCTTTGTCCCACCAATGCCGCCCCACACACCCAGCGGTCTTCTGGAATGACATGTCTCTCTTCGGGTGCCCCTCCCCCCTCCCAATATTCAGGTTTGCGTGAGAGAGCGTCCGCCCTAATGTTCTCTGGGCCTGGCACGTAACTAATCTCAAAGTTAAATTTGGAGAACTCCTGGGCCCATCTCACTTGCCGTTGGTTGAGCACTCGTGCCGTCCTCCAATACTCTAGGTTCTTGTGGTCAGTGCACACTTGCACCTTATGTTGTGCGCCAATTAGCAGGTGCCTCCATCTCCGGAACGCCTCATGAATGGCTAGTAGTTCTCGGTCATACACCGTGTAGTTCCTCTCGGATTTGTTCAGCTTTCGCGAAAAAAGGCACACGGTCTCCACTCTGACCCCTTCTTGCCTGGCTGCAGAAGCACCGCCCCAATCGCTCTGTCTGATGCGTCAGTTTCCACTCTCATCGGTTTTTGTAAATCCACATGCAGGAGTTGTTGTTCCGAGGCGAAGGCCCTTTTAGTTCCTCAAATGCTCGCTCCGCCTCCTCAGTCCACACGAACTTCTTCTTACTGCTGAGACAGTCCGTAATGGGCGCCGTCAGGTGGGCAAAGTTTCGGATGAACTTACGATAGAAGTTCCCAAATCCTAGGAACCTCTGCACATCCTTCTTTGTTTTGGGTGTTTTCCATTCCAGCACCGCCTGGACCTTGCCGGGATCCATGGCCAATCCTTTGTCTGACAGGCGATACCCCAGGAATTCCACCTCCTTGGTATGAAACTGACACTTCTCCAGTTTCACCCACAGCTGGTTGGCTTGCAGCCTGCTCAACACTTCTCTGACGTCTCTCACATGCTGCTCCTCATTCTCAGAATACACCAACACGTCGTCTAAAAGGCCACACAATTCTTGTAAAGCAAAGGCCCCAGGACGTGGTTCATAAACGATTGAAATGTTGCGGAGCCTGCTTGTAGGCCGAAGGGCATAACCAAATATTCAAATGCCCCTAAAGGGGTGAACATAGTGGTTTTCCATTCATCCCCCTTCCTTATTCGTACCAGGTTGTACGCCCCCCTTAGGTCCAGCTTTGTGAAAATCTTTCCCTTCCGCACCCTTGTCAAAATGTCGTCAATCCTGGGCATAGGGAAGGCTACTGGTTCTGACACTGCATTTAAGGCCCTGAAGTCACACACCAGCCTCGGCTTGTTCGTGTTTTTCTTATCCACAAAAACACTGGGCTGCCCCCACCGCCCTGGACTCTCTGATGAACCCTCTCTTCAGGTTCTTGTCAATGAACTCTCTTAACTCCTGCATCTCTCTGTCTGACATGGCGTACAGCTTGCCTACAGGGAGCTGTGCTCCAGGGAGTAAGTTGATTTGACAGTCAAAGGGTCTATGCGGGGTAGTTGGTCAGCTTCCCTTTCGCTGAAGATGTCACGGAGATCTGCATATTGTCGTGGTACCTTCACGTTCTCTGTTACTTCAGTCCCTGCTAGGGTGGCTTGGACCCCTGCCAAACCCTTTCCCTCTTTGCAGTGTTCTAAGCAATGTGCTGAACCAAAAGAAACCACTCTCTGATGCCAGCCCACCAGCGGATCATGTAACGCTAGCCAGCTCATCCCCAATATAATGGGAGCTCCTCCCAAGGTGGCCACATTAAAAGCTATCAGTTCGGTGTGCCTTGCTACCTTCATTATCATTGGGACGGTCTGCAAGCTGACTTCTCCACCCAACAGCTCCCTGCCATCGATAGTGGTCACCTGCAGGGGGCTGCTTAAAGGATTGTCTGTATCTGGTGTTCAGCTGCAAACTCTTTGCTCATGAAATTGCAGGAGCTGCCTGAGTCCAACAGCGCCTTTATCTTTAGAGGGTGTCCGTTTGGCAGCTCTAGCGTCACTTCTATCACTAGGGCGGGTTTAGGAGGTTCTGGCGTGGGCACTCTCACTGCTCTTTGGCCTGGCTGCTGTGCCCTGACAGTGGCAGCCAGGCGTTGGCTTTTACTTGCTCCGGTATATTTTCCTCTCTTCCATCCACAGCTCCTACCATCCCTTGCCATTCTTTCCTCTGGGGGCAGACTCTGGCAAAGTGACCTGGCTGTTGGCAGAGATAGCATTTCCGGGCGCCTTTCCCTCCTTCTTTGCCCCCTCACTGGGCTTTGAAACTGCGCGCGCGCGCTGTTCCGATTTCCATCGGCTCTGCCGGTGGGAAAGTTGGCTCTGGAATGTCTGGAATGCGGAACTCCTTCCAACGTCCCCTTTCCCTTCCCGCCTCTCCAATGCTCTCGCCTCCTGGCGCGCTCCTATGGCCAGCGCTGATTTGGTCAGCTGGTCCATAGACTCCGCCCTGGGCGCCCGGGAAAGTTCGTCTTTCACAGCCGAAGAAAGCCCTTCTTCAAAGAGCATCTGAATGGGTTCCGCCGATAAGTCCCACCCCAATCTGTGAACAAGCATGGTGAACTCAGTCCAGTACTCACGGACAGATCGGCTCCCCTGTTTGCAACCCATTAACTGTCTGCGCACCACTCCCTTTTCAATATCGCTGGAAAACATCAGATCCATGGCGCGAAAGAACTTCATCGTGTCCTTTAAGACGTCACTATTAGCTGCCATCAGGGGTCTAACCCAGTCTCTCGCCCCCTTTTCAAGATGCTCAATCACGAAAGCCACTCGTGATTCCTCGTCAGGGAATTCATCAAACTGCAGATTGAGGGCATATTGCATTTCTGTCCGAAAACCATGATAGTTTTCGGGCTCCCCCAAACTTCTGCACCAATCCTGGTACCTTTCTGGCAAACTGGGTGGCTTTCCCCTTTTGTCTGCATCCTGAGCCCTCCTCTCCTCAAGCCTCGCCGTCTGCATCGCTAGCTGGACCTCCAACATCTGGTACCTTTCTTCCAGGCTTGGACCCGCTCCAGCTCCTGCTTCTCCGGTTCCGGCTGGGTTGCTCATGATGCCTTCTCCTGCACAAGCTGCTTTCAAAGACTGTCGGAATGCTGTGATGGGATGATGAGCTGCTTGTGCGTAAAATCGTATCCCCTCAGAGTTTGTTCAAGTCCACAAACCTCTGTCTGTGACGGAGCCCCTCAGACATGGCTACTCTAGTCACTAGCAGATTCCGACAGTGGTTGCTTTCGTAATCGCTTCCAACATAAAAGCTCCTTAACGGAAACACGTCTTCTGGAATCTCTGCGTGACAGTTTCCGGCAAGGAGTGGGTGTTCTTACAGGAGGTCCTGAAACTTCCCCACTGTTTTCGCTGGAAGTGTCTCTGAGCCATCCCTCCAGCTCAGCTCCTCTCCCCTGCTGGTTCCCTCTTCAGCTGCTGCGTCTCTCCCAACCTGTGTGAGCCCTTTCACCTCCCTGTTGGTTCCCTCTTCAGCTGCTGCGTCTCTCCCAACCTGTGTGAGCCCTTTCACCTCCCTGTTGGTTCCCTCTTCAGCTGCTGCGTCTCTCCCAACCTGTGTGAGCCCTTTCACCTCCCTTCCGTCCGATGGCAGTTCCCTGACAACTGGCTTGCCTATTTGGATCCAAAATGGAATGTACATTCCATAATGGTACTTAAACCTTAATGAGATTGCAGAAGAGTGTCCACATTCTATGATTTCCCCATTCTGATGAGCTTGCACAAGACACTCTCTTGTAGCTGCTGGCCATTTTTCTCTTCCCACACCACAATGAATGGTAAATTTGATAGGATCAGACATAAGGCATCATAACAGTATGTTTCATATGGTACTGAAGTAGACAATGGCTCATCTAGCCCAGTATTCTCAACACAGACAGTACCAGGTTTGGGGCAGCTGTCCAGAGTTTCAGGCAGATGTCTCTGCCAGCCCGACCAGAATATGCTGGGAATTGAACCTAGAACCTACTGCATGCAAAGCAGATACTCAACCACGGAGCTATGGTCTTCCCTGTGTTCAGAATAACTGTCCACACCTTTAAAAGCACAATACTCATGGTGGCTATCATACCTATTGGATGACTGTGTCATCCCTACCAAGATTGCGGAAGGAAACAAATTCCATTGGGAAAGGAAGTGAAATAAGACATGACTCTCTCCTCAACATCCTTCAGTTTCCATTCTCCTAAAACACAAGCTATCTGGATGTGGTGTCACAATATGCATATTGTGTAGAATATGCTGAAAATCATTATTTCTAGCTTTGATTTTCTTCCCTCTCTGATCCACTTCCCTCCCTATACTTCGTAGGGTGACAGCAGGGGTTGCCATAGCAACATAACACAAAGCCATCTTCTTTTGTGGTAAGAAACTGTTGAACAGCTAAGAGAATTAAGGAGGGGGGGTGCAGGTAGAGGGTACCTGGGAATTCAGCTAAAAATAGAAAAACTTAATAATGGAACCATTAAGGGGAAGCCATTTGGGGGCTTCATAGCCTCAAGCCTTTCTCCTGAAGCCTTTTTCATATTACTAACTGTAATTGAGTAGCTTTTGATTCTGAGAAGGAAAGAGGAAAAGTTGCTTTATTTCCAGCTGTGGAAAGAGCGGCAGGCACAATGCATGTCCGCATTTCATTTAGGGTGCTAATTACCTGCCCAATTTCAAATTCATAAAATAAAAGCCACTCTCTTTCAGAACTTAGAAAACACCCACAACCCCTTTCTTTAAAATGGACACTGAGCACACCTTGTTCATTTTTGAGCGATAAATCAGCATACTCTGTACTTTGATGCCTTGTCTGATTTTACAACTTGAGACAAATTCCTCCTGTTATCATCTTCCCTTTGATGTCCAATGTGGTTGCATTAATTATTATCAATGCTTTCAGCATTGGCCATGTGCATAATTCTGCCAAAGGAGTATTTATGGGCCATTCAATTGGTCCAATAACTGGGAGATCAGATTTGAACGCTGAATGTCTGACTTGGTCCTCATGTGAGAAGAATAAGCCAGTGCTTTCTTAAAACCAGTTCACTATATATCTATTACGTGTGCATTTACCCATGCAGCCAGCATTTCAGTTCTAGCTCTGAAGCACGTGTGCTTGCTATGAGGCAGCAATACAGTGTTAAGGGTAGATACAAGTACCTATAGCAGCCATCTATAGTAAATGTCAGCTTATATCATATGAGGGTGAGAAAAGGATACAGCATTTAATATTAACATCCCGGTGATTTTATCGTTCTGGAAAGTAACATCAGAAGCAGGTAGTGCACCTAGACTTTGTAATCTGTCATAAATTATCTTGTCTCATACAGTTCTGGAACAGGAGATTTGGATTGGGCCTTTAGTAGAATCAGCTGCTGGCACATGAAAGCACATCCAATGCCCAACAGACAGAACCATTTCTGGTGTTAAAAGATGTAGGGGTGATGTTTGTTTTACAATATTCCTCCTAACACCTAAAGTAGAACTTTTTTGCTACCCAGAGTAAGATGCAAAAAGTTCCACTTTATGAAGAAAGATGGAAACTGGAAGGATGAGGTATTTACATTTCTATTTCCACTGCATTATCCAACATCTAGCCTGCTCTTATGTTAGTCTGTATGATCTAGGTAAAAAATGTGTTCCACAAGAAGAAAACAGATGCAACAAGTATAACCCCCATAGTGAACAAACTATTCTATATACAGTGGTACCTCGGGTTAAGTACTTAATTCGTTCCGGAGGTCCGTTCTTAACCTGAAGCACCACTTTAGCTAATGGGGCCTCCAGCTGCCACCGTGCCATCGGAGCACGATTTCTGTTCTCATCCTGAAGCAAAGTTCTTTACCCGAGGTACTATTTCTGGGTTAGCGGAGTCTGTAACCTGAAGCATATGTAACCTGAGGTACCACTGTATCAGGAATGGAGGAACTGTAGCCAATCAGATCTTGTTGGACTGGTTTATTATTTCATATATATATATATATATATATATATATCTGCTAAATTACAAAACAAATCAAAGCAGTGTACATTATTAAAAAGATATAAACCATACAGTTAAGGTATAAAACGACTTAAAAGCAAAAAAATGAGATATATATATATATCTATATATCTATATATATATATATATATATATATATCAATAAACAATTCTGAGGGATGTACTCTTAGTTGCCTAGGCACAGAAGGTGACTGCTGATTACCACTCCCATTTTCTTGGCCTGCTTTTTGATCCTTCTATTTGCAAACCACTTTGTAGCAGTGTAACTCCTGCATAAGTCTTCCCTTATTGTTTATGTTGTTCTTAAAACCTTGATTTAGGAACCGTTTGGGAAGATCTGTTTGGAGAGAACTGCCCTGTGATCTTTTAATAATAAAAATAACCTTTCCTTTTCCTTTCTGAAAAATCACTTTCAATCAGTCATTTATTCTGAAGCATGACGAGCTCAGATGAACACTTACTGATTCATCTCATTTTTTAAAAATGTTTAAATAAACTTTGCTGAAGCTCCAGCATAATGTCAACTGCTTCTCAAGTGAATTATTCATCCTGCCCCATTCTTTCAGAAATGCCAAAAGGATTCTGAGGCTGCTTCATATTGAAATGGTTCCCTCTGCCAAAACATATACAAGCCAAAGACAATCTCCAGTTTTACAAGCAGCCCACGTTAGGCTATATTGAGGGTTTACTGAGGGGCATGGAAAACATGAATACATGAAGTGTCTTTCCTGGCAAAAATGGGGTTTACATTGCAGGGAGACTACAACTAGGAAGGCCTTTTCCAAGCAAGTGATCAAGATGAGTTACAATCCAGTGCTATCCTTCAGCAATCCATCCCTGGCAATCCATCCCTAACACCTTCCCTCCCAGTTCCCATGAAATATACCTATATCACACAGTTGCCTAAACTGTTCTCCTTAGCCCTCTTCTCTAAATGGGCAGAGAAAACACATGAGGTAGACAGAAGGTATGAGCACACTGGCCTCACCTCACCATCACCCCCCCCCCCGCCCGCAAGCCAAGGGCATCTGTCTGATGCAGTATAGCTGCTGTACCCATGCTTTATAGATCCCCAGTTTTCCAAGTTTCTAAATTGCACAGGATACCACCACAACTACAAGAGGCTTCCCACTTCACCTAAGAACAGCCTGCTGCATCAGGCCAATGGACCAGCATTCTGTTTTCACATTGACCATCCAAATGCCAATGGAAAACCTGAAAGCATGCGTTGGAGAGCAACAGCCTGATGTTCTTGCTTCTACTTACCTCTGAGTAGAAGTTGCTGGTAATTACAAGTGGGCAGAGCACTGTTGCACTTGGATCCCTTCTTTCAAGATTCCCATTGGCATCTGGATGGTTGCTATTTCGATGCCGGGTGCCATTTTGAATCAAGATGGTGGGCCGGAATGTGACTCTCCATGAACAAACGTGCACTCTCTGCTAGTCCCGCATAAGTTAAAGCAAAACATGGGTCTATTCTGGGTCAACTACCTCTTTTCTGTAGCAGAACACATTTGTGTGCCTAAAAATAGTCAGTGCACACTCCTAGGAACTGTGATTATCTGAGGATTATATGTATCCTTTTCCAGACACATGAACATTATGGAAAAGATGCACTCAGCCTGCAGTGGAAAAATGGAAATCTGTTCCAACATACAGAACAGTCCTAAAAGTATAGAGACACAAGAGAAATCAATCTTAAAATGTGCCTCTACCTGCAAAAAAAACAACAGAATAAAAGCACTCTATAATCCGATGCCAAGGCATATCTGTGAATCAGTGACAAGTAAAGATAAAACTCTTCTTGAAGATCTCTGTCAGCCAACTGTATCAGGAATGACATTGATTTTTCCCCATGCTGCTGCTATCTAAGGGAGGGCCTTTGTCAGTTCTATATTTAGCCATTAGATTATGTGCATTACTAATATTCAGGTAGTGCTTCATCAATTTCCATCACCACAGGTAGGAGGCTGAAAAACCTGGGATGAATGTTGCTTTGTATAAAGCTGCTGTTTGTCAAAGGGGGTAAAAAGCCTTAATACTAGGGGGAATGAAAGAAAACCAGGGAATTTGGTATAATGTCTAGAGGTACTTCACACAGCTGGGTAAAATGACAGTGTTCAGTAGAGGGTGTAAATGGTACACTTACTTGCTGGGGTCAATGTGGTGAATTCCATCAAGGTAATAAGCAGGACCAGACAATTGAACACAGTTTGTGTCTTGTTTGGACAGGATGCAAACTGCATCCAGTCATCACTGTGCACACCACTGACTTCCCTTTGCTTGGCAGAGGGGCCGAATGGATGTTAATTACGCAGATGGGCTGCTAGCCTGAATGTTGGGTATTCTAAGTCTTAACTGCGTTTCGGACCACCTCAGCACCATTTCATGGCTTGTGACCTACAGTGCTCAGTTTTCAGTTGAGGTGGGGAGCAGGGAGGAGGAATGGTAATATAGAGAACTTAAAATAGGTTGAGATAATGCCATTTTAAGTCACTAGAGGACTTTCTGGTGGACTATAGATCTTAAATCCATTGCTTAATTTCTAAAACCGGCAGTATGTATTTCATTATTACTTAAATAAATTTATAGACCACTTCACAGCATAAAGCAACCTAAGAGGTGTATGCCTGACTAGAATCACTTATTCTCCACCCTGGAAGTATTGGCTCTGGTTATGTTTATGCAAGAGTGAGATGAACTCTGCAGAAGTTCAGAAATACGGTACTCTGTCCCAGATTACAGCAGTGATGGGGAAGCTTTCTTATGTAGCAAGCTGGATCTTTATGTTCCCCCACCCCGCGAGTCAACTTTGTCAGATGGGGTGGAGTGGGGAGGCAGTGATCAAGCAGGATTGAATTCCCATGCATCAGCTGATGTGCAGGGAATTCAGTCCTGCTTTCTGAAGGGTTTAGGTGTGCAAGTGAGTTCCCCACAGGGTTAGAGTCTGAAGTTGAATTACAGCAGTTAAAAAAAAATCATTTCATTTTTATATTTTATTGTACTGAGGTGCATTTCC